ATTTCAGGTACATAAATCTGAATTAAAAGAACATGCATAAATATTTGCTAAAGTACGAAGCAATCAACACTATCATGGCCCTTCTCCTGGGATAGCAGCTACAAGGCCTTTCCATAGCACCTGAAACTGAGGTCAAACTTTTGGTGCCAAATCTATTTCACAAAACATGGTCGTTTGCTGTTGTTTGTACTGCCTTTAATCTCTGAGTCAGTTATTTACTGCAGCAAATCTCCATAATGTCAGCCCTATTTAACATTATTTCTTACAGCATCTAAGACTCAGTGGTTTGGTGTATGGTCTTTGGTATACTGGTTCGGTATTGCAAAATCCCAGTTGTTTTTTTTTAAACTCACTATTGCTTTACAAGATGTTTTGAAGTGTGTCTTGCCTGTCTTTCTCAGATATTGTAATAGTACCTACTTCCTATCTGTCTAGATAGTTCGCTGTTACAGGCTTAGCTTCAACAAGAATTTTTAAAACCCTGACAAGGATAGGCTCTGAGATGCTGCTCACATAATGTGGCATTGCCTCAACAACTCACAAAAACATCCTGTTCCACCTGAAAGAAACAGGCAAGATAATGCTTACTGAAAATGATCTCTTAGTAGCTACATTTTTTTTTCCCCAAAGCACTGAGTATTTTTTCAGCCACCCTAAAAGGGCCATTGTAATAAATTGATTGAGTTTGAAAGCTTGTCCAGTTTCACTATAACTTCTGTAAGTGATTCTGTTCTATCTTAAAATGTTGTTTATTACTTTCTACTCTACTATATAGTCCTCTCTGAATTTCATGAAAAGCCATAGGCTGTGTTCCTGAAGCAAGAGGTAGGGATGCCTGGTAGCATTCCAAGGGAAATTGCTGATGTTTCTGAAAACTTTCAATTTACTATTCATAAAAAAATACGAAATGAAATATTTTGTTATGGAGCAGATTAACAAAAAACTCCCAAACAACAGACTATTTTGCTGAGATGGCCTGAGCTACCTACTGAAACCATTGCTTAGTCAAAATGTTGCAAAAACAAAAGAAATTATTCAGAATGGATGAAAAAAGGGCAAAAGGACAAAAAATTCACGTGACTCTTCAAAGTTTCATCACACCCAGAATCAAACTTTTCCTTTTAAGGTTTTGTAAATCTTTTTCACAAGATTTTTAATTTGTATTGGTTTTGAAGTGAAAAATATTGTTTTAGAATAAGCTGGTTTTTAACATGTATCGAAAAAACAATTTACAGTATTTTCCAGCTGAGATATTTTTCTCCAAATATGCTAATTCATATTTTTGCCCTGTTTTCTCCAAGCTATTCCCCAAATTCGCCCCCCCTTTTTTTTTCTTTTAGTTTTAGGAGGTAAGGGGTTTTTGTGTGTTCTGAAATTACATTTTTTTAAAGAAAATCCTTTTCTTATTTGTTTTCTTGAGCAGTTCAGAATCTGTCAGATTTTGGTAGTTCAAGCAAAATCTCATCAAGCAGGGAGAGGAAATGGCATTTGAGTAAAGACTGGACTAGGATGTGTTCCACATGTTTAGTATTAAAGCATTATTTTTCTAAGAGCTCTTTGAAATATTTGCATCTCTGTATATGCCTGAACTATTTCCTCAGGAGAAGGAAAACAGGGTGTTCTGTGGCTGATCCTAGTTTGTTTAATACTCGTGAGACATTTGGGTTGCCACTTTTCTCTTTTTGTTTATTTGCTGCCAAGCTTTCCCTTTGTTTTTCTCAGGTAGGTTAGGGCAGGAAAATGCCGCACTCATCAAAAGATGAGAAGTCCCACTGCCTGGAGCCAGATGTTCTTAAAATATTCCTTTGATTTTATTTTTTTTTCCTCTGGTTTCTTCCTCCCCCAGCACAGCAGCTGAAAGTAAGTCCCTTTTCCCCTTATGTTCAGCTGTATGTCATCTTGAATTTAGTCTGAGATTTCAGTCAATTTAAATCTTAGGGATGGGGGTCCTGAGGCAAATATGTCCCTTATTTCAGACACTTTGCCTGCAACCCAATTGTGCAGGTTGGAGTTAGCTCATTTGTTATGATTGCTTTTGGTAACAGAACAATCGAGAAGTAAAACTGGAGTGCGTTCTTCTGAGGAAAAGGCAATTCTTCCTCTGCATGAACTATTTAAAAGTTCCCAACACACATGCTTTTGCTTTGCTTTTACACTAAATAATACTAATTAGGTTAATAATATTAAATTCTTCTCTTAGTAGAAATCTCTTATTCTCAATAATACTAATGTGTAAATATTTAAACTTGCTATAAATATTCTCCGGTACTTATTTTTATGGCAGCAGTAAATTAGAATTCCACACTGCAAGCCCTGAACAGAGGCTGTACAGAGTTGTTAAACCCAAGCCTGTAGGTGAATTAAAATAGAAATCACATTGAAATTAGTCTTGACGATGGAACATTAAAAGCTTGTGAATGTTTTCAGTAGCTATGATTGCATCATAATTTAATACATCCTTTCTCACATATATTCCAGTTTTTCCACCCCATCTGCCTCTTTTACTCTCAGCTGCTACCATGATAGCCCCTCAGGACAGCATAATCTCGTTAGCTGTGATGCCATAATCTGCTGCTATCATAAGAGTGGAAGACAAAAAAATTGGAGAATACTGCACATACTAAAACATTTCTTCTTTTCCTTTTCAGACTAGAGGCTTAAAGAAATTAAGAACAAAAAACATTTTATTGTCTATAAATTATAAATACTATTACATTCAAGGTAACTGAATCTTACAATTAGTCTTTATATTTCTTAGTGAAGAATCTCCTCAGTTGTATTTCACTATTGAAATGAAGCTGACAGTTCTTGCCAGCTGGAAAAAATCCACTGCCAGAGTGGAGCTTCTCCCACCCAGTTTATTGCTGCAGCACAAGGAATGTGCTTCACATTTGTCTAGAATTTCAGACAATGCACAATGGCTCTCTTAGAAGCTAATGCACACACAGTGCATCCTCCAAATAGGCTCTGGTTGTGCTGGAGAGGAGACAAATGCACTGGCAGAAATACGTTGTAGCATGTTGTGACAATACATCCCTTTCCAATCCAACAGCTGGAAGCAGAAAGGTTGACTGAAGATGAAAGGGGATCCCTCCAGTACAGGTTCCAGCATCCTTGGGAGCCAGATGGACAGAAATGGAAAACAGAACTAAAGCAGGCCACAAAATTCACTGCCAGAGAGGTTTTGGTTTTATTCATGGCGATGCCGGGTTTTACTAGAAAAACATTTGCCGTGCCATAGAATCTGAAGACAGGAATGACCTGGAGCCTCCTTTGCTCTATTCCCAAACTTTGCGGGATTGTTCCAGGTGTATTTGCTAATCTGTGTGTAGTCTGGTTTTTAAAGACTTGTGAAATAAAGCAATTTTTCTGCTATTTTTAGGTTATTTCCCCACAAAGGCTTTAGGAGAATTTTTCTTTAAATGTTCAGACTACATTTCCTTTCTTATTCTCATTACTTTTAGTTTTATCATCCTAGACTCCCTCAGGCAGCTTTTCCCGGTGCCTGCTTTTTGCCATTTCATATTCTTCTGTGTAGCTGTTATGTTTCTCTACAGTTCTCCTGATATTTTTTTTTTCTTTAAGACCTCTTGTAATGTCACTTGCAGATGTCATTACTATTCTGGTCACTTCCCTCTTCCATTAATGAAGACGCGAAACAACACAGAACCTACCATTGCTCTTACTAGACACTTCCTGTCAACCTGCTAGGCTGCTGTTTATCAGTACTCTTCCTTTATGGTCCTTCAGTTTGCATTCATTCCCCATGACAGTGCTCTTATCTAAGTCTTTCCAAATTAATTTTTCAAGTAAAATTTTCTGAGACGCTGTAGGAAAGGTTTTGCTCATGCTTCAATCCAGCTTCATTGCTTCTGCTGTTTTCCCTTCTTCTGCACTAAGAATTTTGTCCAGACAAAAAGCAACTGAGGACTAACAATGCGTGTTGAGATTTTCTTTTCCCCCTTTGAGGGTAGCTTCCTGATCTGAGGATCCTACTCTATGAACACTCACTGCTGTAATGGCAGGCACTCTCAAAGGCTGGGTTATAACCAGCACTGGTAAGCTGTTGTTACTTAGGTTTCAGGGGTTGCAATCAGATGTGTCAGAGGATTCACTAGGTGGAGGAAGGGCTGCAATTTCATCTCATGCAGTGTATGTATTACATCCTATGCAGTAAGTATTAAGGGCCAGATTTCATCCCACTCACATTAAATAAAATATTTTATGTGAGTGACAAAGTTCTCTTTGTCCCAGCACAATCTTCATTTCAGGCCAGATAGAAATGAACTTAAACAGTGGGATTTTGGAAGAAGCTGATCTCTGTTCAGTGTGAAGATGGCAGAAATGTTGGTGTACTAGATAACTCAGGATTGTCTTTACCCTTTTCCTAGTAGACAGTGACTTGACAGAACATCTTCTTGAAGCCTGTAGCTTTTCACCCTAAGGAGTGGAGAAGGTCATTTCTGAGTGTTAAGAGGTTCCTTCTTTCTTTCTTATGGGATATTGTTTTATTCTCTTTGGAATGATAATGACCTTTGGACAGACTTAACCTCCATCATGAGAATCACCAGTATTCACTCATTTTTTAAGGAATAATCCCAGTGCTAATCATGTCACAATGAACTCGAGCTTTACCAGTTAAGGAGACTACTAGAAATACAGCATCCTTCTCTTGCTTCTCTTCTTCCCAGTTTTACTCTTCTTTATCTACTTTAGCATTTTTGCAAGCCTATATAACCTAGCATTCATCTGTATGGCATCTCTCAATTTCTTCTCTGCAGCCTCAACGGGCTCAGGAAAACTTTCTCTTAGTGGCATCTTGAAACCTGAAGCTCTTTTAGTCAACCTCCTGTGTTAGCACAGTTAGACTGTAGTTTCCACTAATAGGTCTCTGCTCATGTCCATGTTTTAACTGCAAAGTCAGCACATAGACAGGATGGGCCTTGAGTGGCATGTGACATCATGGCTTCTCTTGTTCTCTGCACCGTGTTTTCCTTCAGGGGTTATCTTGCTGCTGCTTGATAAGTTACGGAAGATGAAATGGGAGCAGATGTGGAGGCTCACGGCGGAGCGGGAGTTAATGAGCATGCTGTCCACTTCGCTGGCTGACCAGGTGAGTAGAACATTGCAGACTAGTGATACAACCACTACTTCATGGATTAAGGAAGGTAAGAAAAGGAAAAGGGGTGAGATATGGAAAAAGCAGGGGGATTATATTGTGCCTCTAGTCACCATTTGTTGAATCATTCAAGGGAAAACGTTTAAGAGAGGAATGGAGATTTACTCATGAGTTTTCTCTTACTACACTGAAATTTTTACCTCCTCTGCACAGATGATTCATAAGATAGACAAATGGGGTTTTCAAGCTTTAATTTTCTGTCCTCCTTTCTTTAACATAAAGCTCTCCAGACACTAGAAGTCCAAATATATATATCTTTTCCTACTGGTTATTGTCTAAGCTGACTTTAGTTTTAGGAGTCTCCAGATATTCTTTACTGTTTCTGGCAGATGAGTCCCAGCAGTCTTTTAATATACTCCTTGCCACAACACTCCTGTGAAGGCAAAAGCTCTGCTGTCTCTCTGACACAGATGGGAAACTGAGGCCAAGAGAAGAAATAGTGTGCCTATACACAGAAATGTGTATTTACTCTTCATGAGTCCTGCCAGCTCTCATTTTTAAATCCAGAAACCCTGTTAGTGTAGTACTGGACCTGAACCAGTGAGTCTTGCTCAACAGCTTGAGTGTATTAACTCAATATAGCATCATATTTAGATATTTTTACTGCTTTGAGCTATAGCTGGGTTATGAACAGGCACCACCAAGGAAGCGTGCTGCTTACTGTGCACATAGAGGTGTTCACTTGTGTACAGTATCCTTGTAGGTTGATCCAGAAGCTGCTAAATGTCATTAAAATTATTCTTACAACTTCACTGTGTTCAGTCAAGTCCTGAGTTGCTGTCTATTACTTGCATGGGGCAGAATTTTTTAGAGTGGACCAAGGTTGCTTATGTCTTACCCTAATACCTTAACCACAAGGCTGTCCTTGTAACTTACTTCTCCAACTGGATGGCTGCATAGAGGCAGAACATGTTCTGTACCTCATGGTGCAGATCTGTCTTACATGCCTTTTTCATGAAATACCTAGAGTAGTTGTTGCAACAATAAAGTGCTAGCTAAAATCCCACATAGTTACTCACTTTGAAACAGGGCAACTGCCAGGATAATTTCCATACTCTTTACTGATGCGTGATGCAGTATTTATTAACCAGGCAGTTTGTCATTTACTGCATATTACTCTCCCTAGTGGCTAGAAGAGGAATCGCATCTCTTGCCAGGTACATGTTTTGAAAACTTTGCTGGAGTCCCTTAGCTCTGGGTGTCAAGAGAGCCTGTTCCTCTTGTTCAGATCTACATGTCACCCCTTTGGTTGATAGCTCCCTCTATGGAAACAGAATTATGCAGCAAAGTTTGCAGAGTTCAGCTCGCATAACCATTTGCATTTCTCCCTGTGAGGAGCAGGGAGAAGGATAGTCAGCTCGGGGAGGGGTTGAGATCACCTCACTGTAGAAACGATGTGCCAAGCTGTTTCTCTGGTTTTGTCTGCTAGGATATCTTCAATGCAGTCATCAAACAAAATCCCTTCCTTGTCTACCAGCTCCCGTGTTTCTGGAATGTGCAGCTGTCTGATCACACTCGTTCTGAGCAGTGCTACAGAGATGTGTCTGACCTGAAGGTATGTTTTACAGGAGGTTGGATGGGAGGTGTCCTTTGCAACAGAGAATACAGGACTCCACTATGACAGAGAGATTAAGTCCCTTAAGTAGAGGGGGAAACTAAAACAGTTCATGAGGACACCCAAGCAGGGGAAGCAACTATGACTTTAGCTTTGTGCATTTTGGCTGCTAGAAAAGTCAAAGATGGATGCTGCTTTGGGGTTTGGCAAGGTGTTAGAGAAGGGCTTCACCTTCTTACATACTGTACCTGACCTATGCCACTGTACCTTACTCCTGAGTTCCTATTGCTGTCCCTGTTCTTAGCTCTTCCTAGCGAAAGAATAAAAAAAAACTCTTTTTTTGAACTGGATAAGTTTGAAACTCTTTAATCAACATCATTTAATGGAGTGAAATTCACAAAAAGGGTTGGGCAGCCTCTACCCAACTGGAAATACATTAGCCAAAATTTAAAGACCTTGCACACTCCATCTTTATCCTTTGCATATACTTAACCCAGCCACACTGACACTAATTTTTCCAAAATCTGCCTTGGAAAAAAAAGGCTTAATAGAAGCCTATTAATTGAATAAAATGAAGCTATAGTATCTGTTTAATAGTAAATTTTTCACTGTTGTCAAGTAGAATATAAAAGCAGGATGGATTTGTACAGATATGGTTAAATTAACATCAGTTGTGCTGTGGACATTTTGAAAGGCCAGACTCAAATGTCACTTGCAGGGAGTTTAGGACTGGAGCTGATTAAGCTTCTGCCAGGTGTAGAGTAAGACTGGCTGGCTAAACAACAGTAGATTCCACCAGAGCAGACTAGTGGCATCAGAACACAGTAAATATTAAATAGCTTTTGGCGATTAATTTTAAAATTCAGTTAAGGTTCATATACTTAATTTATGTTTTGAGAATGCTTTAGTAAATGAGGTTTAAAAAAAAGCACAAAACAATAGAAGAGGTTGTACAGAACCTCTGGAGCCCATCCAAACCCCACTCAAAGCAGGACTAACTTAGATCAGGTTGCTCAGTGTCTTGTGTAGTTGAGTGTCAAGTCTCCAAAGACTGAGATTCCACAGCCTCCCTGGCCTCCTGTTCCAGAGTTTGACCACCCTCATGGTGCAGTATATTTCCTAGATCTAAGCAGATTTTCCCTTGTAACAATTTGTAGAGTAACAGCAGGAGTGTTCAGTATGAACACTAGATACTGGATGAATATAGAAAATCAATCACCCTCGATACACTGATTTCAAAAGCTGTACTTGCCAAAAGACAGAAGATCTACCACATGGGTTAACTGACTTGTCAAAGCTGGCTAGCATTGCTTGAATTTCATATCTAAAGTATTCACAACAAACTATTCAGGTATGGTCCACAGAAGACAGCTTTTAAAGTTAGATCAGTATACTGGTCAGTACGCTGATCACTAAATGTTTTATGGTAGATTTTTGTAGGGCAGGGTCAACACAGGGACTTCAAAGTGTCATGGTTTTATGCCTTGTAACAAAGTGCTTGTAGAGATTTTAGTTTTGTGCTGATGTTGAGAATCATGTATGACAGCAATTGCAAGGCCTGAACCAAAAGGAGAGATGTAGTAGCAGGAAAAATGTTTTCTAAAAGATGAATTTTAGAAGAATACACCCCCTACCTGGGAGATACCATAGTATTTTTCTGTGAAGTAGCAGCTGACATTAATTTATATAATCCACTGAAACAGTCACACTGGATTCAACACAAGGTTAAGACACATACATTTACATGAGAAAAAGATACTGAAGCTAATAACTGAGGATCTAGGGCTTAGTTCAATTGCCTAAATACAATTTGAGTCACCACAGATACTCTCAGATATCTGTATGGGTCTGACAGGTACAACACAGACCTTCAGATGGTTATACCCTTTTGGCATGGCAGCTGATGGGCAGGCAGGATAACCCTAAGGTGTTTTCAGTGTTGCTATACATCTGTATTTAGGCAGCTGAACTGTGATCCCCTTGAGTGGTTTTAGAGACTGGTTAAGCTCACCTCAGAGCAGACATTTGATGACTAATCAGGCAAATTACCCTTTAGACTCCAATGACTGTATTGACTAATCTGCTTCAGGTGTAGGGCATCTAGCTCGTATGTAACACCTGCAAGTATGCATTTAATAGAAGTATCTTGAAAATATATTGAATCCTTTCTTCATTGTTGATTAACAAATTTATGTTTACATGTATAACTTAAACTTGGTTGTTTATTACCTTGTATTGTATCAGACTGTCAGTTCCATTACAGCATAGGCAATGAAGTCTAAGACACATAATACCCTCCACTGGCATTCTGGTCTGAGGTATTTAACTCAACAAGGGGTGCAGACACATAAGCAATTTCTTTGGCTAAATTGAACTTATTCACACTGTTAAATTTATCCCCTAAATACTGAATTTGGGCTGAAATCCTTTGCTTTGAAAGAGAGGCCAGAGCCTTATCTAGTGCTCATAAGCCCTCTGGTTTCAATAAAGCTCTTCCCATATCCAGCAGTTAATGATCTTGCCTTTAGGCAGCACTGTTCAAAATTCTTCATACAATTAAAAAAAAAAGCAGAAACCAATTAAAGTTGTGAATTTGCATTATGAAAATTAGCAAAATTCTAGTTCTGAAAAGAAACGGTCTGGTTTGGTATGTGGTCTTCTCAAAAAAGCAACAAATGTCATTAGCCCAAGTTAGAGAATATACTGTTAAAATCACCAAAGTTGGTCAGTTCCGTAGCATTTAGTATGAATGGTATGACACAACATATTTGCCACATCCTGTATTTCATGGTAAGACTGGAATAAGGAACGAGGTAAAAGAAACCTCCAGGGTAAGAGGGAGAGAAAGACAGATTGTGAAGTTTGTACTGGAGGATTAAGAAGGATAGCGTAGGAAAGAAGGAAATGCAGGGAGAGATTTAAATTCCAAGGTAAAGCTGGCCCAGTGAAGTATTCCTCAGTCAAATCAGACTGCATTCCTCATGTCAGACTGAAAAGCACTGATTTAATTCCATCTCGCCTCAAAGTCCATGGGACTTGAGGATTTTTCATCTCTTACACACAACACTTTGTCAAATAAACTTAGACCCTCAGGGCTGGCTGCTGATCAGGGGGGATGTGTGTGTGTGTGTCTGTATGCACACTTCTTTACTGCTTTGTTCACATTCATGCGAACACAGGATGACCAGCCTGTGGAGCACTTGAATATTTCATATTGCCTGAAGAGGATTCTAATATCTTTTGTCTCTTTATAGTTCTCACGAAGTTGCATCTCTATCCATTTTATTGATTTTTTTTTTTTGGTCCTGTCTTATGTTAGAGAAGGTCAGATGTTTAATGACTTCTGATCTCTATTTCCTTGCTGCAGATGAGCAGCATAGACAAATTTGGAAGGACTTGCATATGGATATCTTTAAAAAAAAGGTGTTAGAATAGAAATATTTATAACCAGGTTCTGTGTTGTTAGTGACCACTAATTTTATATCCATCTAAAGCAACATCAAAATAAGACAACTTTATTATTTTTATTCATCTAAATGCTTACTTTCTCCCTGTTTCATACTATATAATGCTAGAGGCTGCACTGTACACAACCAGATTGAAGTCTCTGGGCTTTGTTCTGCTCTCTGTGGAGTATGGAACCAAAACTTAAGTAAACAATTACATTTACAGAAATCTTCCTTTCCCCACCTCGAGGGCACCTGTATTAAGAATGCTTTGCATCAGCCAAGAATGTCTGAAATGAACAATTTTAACAGAAAACAAAGAGCAGGCTAAGAGGAAGCAGATGCCCTTTAATTCTTTTTTGCTAAATGAGCCAACTGCAGTCTCTAAAGGCCAGAAGTGTTTATTTTTGCATGGCATTTGTTACACCTTGGAGAAACACTCAGGAGCTGTTACTGAAGACTGACCAAGAGATTTGGAAGTGCTAATAGGCATTCTGTGCAGGCATCCACTGACCATCTTGCTTATCTCAGCTCCTCGCATAGTCCCCAGTAGCCCACCATGTCAATGGTCAAGCACATGTGCTGTAGGACCATGGCTTGCTGGAATTCACAGCCTGTGGGGCTCTGCCTGGAACTGACATTCATTTATACATTACTTTTGCTGTGTTGGGCCCTGTGCTTGCTTTTCTTTTTGGTTAATCGTTTGTTCCTGTCTGTAAGGAAATCCCAGTTACAATTGGCACAAACCAAATGGCAAGAAAAATCCTATGAAAGAAGGTAATGAATTGTGATGCCTCTGACAATGAATCATGACCTCACTGAATGAGTCAGTCATGAAGAGAAGTCTGGTTGTCAAGGATACAGATGCTATTTACATGCAGAGAATCTGATTATTCACAATCACAAAAATCAGATGCTGGACTCTTCAATGGGAATGTATCAAATTATTAGAATTTACCCACCCACCCCAAAATAGGGAAATGCTTGTAATTCTGTTGACGGCTTTTCAAAATGGTTTTGAACACAGATGATACTAAATCAGCAGGCAGATAAATAATTAACCTCATAAATTCCCCATTCTGAAATTGTGTTATGTGATTCACTGCATCCTCCCTGGCAATTTCCTCCACACTGTAACAACTTTGTCAGATTGCCTACAAAAGTTTAAAGAGCTTCTTGTCCATAACCCAATTATATCAATTCAAATCTGCCCCAAACATGACCTATTGCACCTCTTTCTGTCCCAGTCCCTGAACCACCCGGTGCTGTCCAAGCACCTCAGCACTGATCTGCACCAGCTCTGGCATTCTGCTGCCTTGCATCTTTTAATGCCAACCAAGGGACAGCTACACTGGGAGGTGTAAGGGCTCAAGAGGGTTAAACATACCTCTCCCTTGAACAAACGTTGCAGTCAGTAAGGTGCTGCTTCTCTGCCAAAAAGGGAGCACTGTGGTATTACAGAGGTATTTTTAGGGGTGTTTTTTTCAGTTAGGAGGCCTCTCATAAAACAGTGGTACAGGAGTTGAACAGAGAGCTGCAAATCCTTTTGAGGAAAAACTGAGAACTTTGAAAAATACAAGGTAGGGACAGTCTGTCAGCTTACTGTCATACAGCATAGGCAGTAAGCAGAGGAGATTCCCAGGGCACCAAATCAGGGAGGGCAGGGATTTGAATCCCATATCCAAAAGCAGTGCCTGGACCTCTGGGTTGCTGGCTACTCCAGCGTGAGTTTCTTCCACTTATGTAGTTCAGAAATACTGCTCTGAAATCTCTCTGATGACATTTTTGTGAAGTATTTGATCCTTTCTGAGAAAATTGGTTCTTTTATTAAACCATTCATTTCTAATAAAACACAGTTTAAAAACAAAGTTTCCAGACATTTCTATAAAGTTTCCAGACATCTCTAGTCAAGGCATAAGTTACACATGTAGTGCTTGTTTGTAGTGTGACTTGGGGCGTATTTGAACTTTTCAATAACCCGTGCCTAAAAAAATGCCTATTGAGATGGCTTTAAAGTGGCATATATAGGTGGCTTTACTATGCAGATTTGCTGAACATTTAGCTCCTGTTGATTTCAGTGAGAATTGTCCGGTTGCTAATTAAGTTTTTAAGCAGCAAAGCTCCATCTACAACATACTATTTTTTCTTCTTTACCTAAATTATGAAGTGCTCATGGACATAAGGGTATCTTATGGGAAATTAAACCTATTTAGGCTTAAATTTAGGCTTAATTTATTCTTACTTTTTACCCCTTCAGCCTGGAAAGTAGATGTATAGGTAGGTGTACAGGATATCCTGTATTCTCTGATTTTGTAAGAGCTGAAGCAGTGAGAAATTATCAAGATGTGTCTTTGGGTAAAAAATGGAAGAGATCGTGGTTAAGGAAACATTTGGCTAAATACTTCTTTTGGAGAAGATGCTTCAGGGGAAAAATAGATAAAGGTACCTACAGAAGTAATATTGTGTTGAAGCTTATCGTTAAATGGTTTGAACATCAGATTTAAAATATTTAATCTGCCCAAAGGGGACAAAGCAGCTGGAAACCTTAAGGAGGTTTGCTGGGATTTTTGTTTTCAGTATATTTCACAGATAACTGACCTTAGAGCCCTCTCCTACACTTCACCAGCATATAACATCCTCTGTTACCTTCCGTCTCAGATCCTATTGCCAGTCTACGAGGCTCCAGCTGTATCATCGTTTGAGTGCTTTGTGTCAGAACCTGGTGAATAAATGGGAACTACTGGTGCAGTTATCCTGTTTCACTAGGTCATGAGTGTATGGAAGTATTCCAGGGGGCTGACTGAGCGTAATCAGTGAGTGGTAACGGTTGCTGATTAACTAGGATGGTATTAACAGAAATGTAGATAGTGCCAAGTTGCTTAATGACAACTAACCAAGTGTTAAATAGATGTGGAATTTTAAGTTCTGATCTTTCAGTGCTTAAATTGCTAAATGAAGATTAAGAAGCATGTTTTTCTTAGTTCTCAGGAGGCCTTGATCAAGAGTGGGAAGGATCTGTGGGACAGCCTGGAGGCTAGCACTGTTCCTGAGCTGTCCACCCAGATAATGGCACTGGGATTTTATGTGTTCTAGCTGCAGTTTCCTCTGTAAGCAAACAGAGCTTTGGAATAACATAGAAACTAGGAGGGAAAATAGAAGAAGAAATAAACACAGTATTATGGTGCTATTCAGTCTTGGAAAGGGGATGTTGTAGTAATGAGATTTTTAGTTTGTAGATTTCCTTTCTCTTTTTAACGTTAATATAACAATTGCTTAGTCTGCAAGTGAAGTGGATTCTAAGTTTGGGGTTTCCTTTTCCTTTTATTTCCCTGTAGTCTCTTTTTAACTGGGTTTGAGGGTTTTTTCTCCAGTCAATTCACTGTTGCCCACAATGAAGTTTCTAATGTAATGGCCATAGCTTTACCTGTGCAGCCCATTGTTTTCATCATGTACCTCACTGATGTCCGTGACAGGCTATGCAAGGATGTCTTGGCCTGTATAACTTCTGCTGTAGCTGATGGTGCAATAGACCAAATCAGGCAACTGCAGTCGTAATGGAAGGTGATTTTGTGGGCTGATAGCAAAAAAAGAATATGGTCTTTGGCTATAGTGTTGTATGTCAATGGTCTTGTTGCTTTTTGAAACTTGATGTTCTTTTTTATGCTTTCATATATCACATAATATTTATCTAATCATGTTACATTTGAAAAGCAGCCTAATTTTTCGCTAGACCTGTTTTGTGGTTTTCGTACCTCAGGTCATCCAGATGGTTGCATAGTTCCTTGATGTTGTTTAGCTGCATTGGCGTGTGCTGTCTTTCTTGATTAAAAAATCAGCTTTTCTGGATAGTCATCAGCACCATTCAGCTTTCTTCAGTTCACTCCAGGCTCCCCTGACATCTGTACACATGCAGCATTCTGACATGTTTCAAATCTGATCAGATCCGAACCACCAGCTAGGCCCTTGACACTTACCAGCTTTTCCACACACAACAGATTTTGAAGCATGGCAGCAAAGAGCCTCTGTGCTGACGACTGCAGTTGTCTGGCTTTGACATCAACCCCCGTGTAAGTGGGTAGATGCATCAGCACCAGTACTTGGCTGTGATGTGACATAGTGTATGTTGATGGGAAGTTTCTGCGGCACTGGGGAGCCTGTCCTATAACAGTTTATCATTATTGGCCATTTCTGTGCTCATGATCGGCAGGGTGGGTGGTCAGAGTGCTCAGCAGGGGAATAGGATGCTCATGAAGACATCCAAAAGGAAACTCTCACAAAGTGTAGGAGCAGTAGGGAGAGGGAGAACACACAGAAGATTCTTCTTAACAAGTAGGTTTTGTCCCATTTGCCAGCTTCTCAGCTTTCTTTGATCCATTTTTAAAGTAGCAGCTACCAGCAAACAGTCCATTCTATGCCTGCTTGTAAAAAAACATACTAGTACCCTGTGAAACTCTTAAGCGGCCCTTTCGATTCCTTTAGCCCTATGCTTCTGCTACGTGTGCCTGTTTCCCTGAGGTAGGATTCAGTTGTTGAGGTTTTTTTGCATGCATTCAATGCCTTTGCTGCAGTTAAATACAATGGATGAAATATGTCAAGTTGTTTTCAAAGAAAGGAGATTTTGAAGATACATTTTTCAGTGGAGGAAATCCATCATCTTAAGTTTATGTCCTAACCTATCTAAAGCTCCTTTTGTTTCTGTAGTGTTATGTATTTTCAGCACACGTTGTAGCAACATGTTATCGCACAATTAAGCTCCATTTCTGAGCGTATGGACAAATGAAAGCCAGGAAAAAATGCAGCATTACCTGGGAAAAATAGCTACACCAAGTATTTTTGTCCAAATTATTTCCCAGACTTATGCTGTGTGTAGATGCATCACAGTCTTGATTAAAAGTGTACCTATAACCAGAAAAAGCATTTTTCCCATTTCTGAAATTATCTTTTGTCTCTACAGTTGCTTTTCTGCAGCTGCATGTATGGTTTTCTGACATCCTGGTAGCCTCAGCAGTAAAATTGCAGGAAGGGATAAAACTTTTGCTATCAGGAGATATTTTCACTGGCGTTGGATATGTAGAAGAGGGTGCCGTAGCTTTTATGGCAGTTTAAATACTCAAGTGGAGAGCCTATGTTGTTTGGTCAAGTTAGTTTAGTACAGGAGAAATTCAGTCTACGTCCTTCTCTTTCCTCCTCCAGTCAGCTTATTTGGCAACAGGTAGAATGATTTCAAGGGCTCCTCGTTCCTGCGAAGTTGTGTTGCTGACATGCAGGGAGCTGCGTTCATCTGCTCAGGGCCGCTTCTGTTCTATGTGCTGGGCTTCGCCTCTGTGCATTCCCTCCCACAAATGCAATGTTTGGAGCAGAGCTTACCACACAACCGGCTCAGCAGCTGGCATTGCAGCTCTGTGGCTGTGTGTGAGTGACACTGTGCCTTCACGCAATTAACTTAATGGATTCAGAGAACCTCCAGAACTCCTAGCTTGGAAATATTCCCAAGGGAGACTTTTTTTTTAATCTCTTTAGAAGTCACAGGAATAAAACTGAATACAAAGCATTTGGTGGTTTTTTCCTTATGCCTAAAATATAGCCTCTATAAAATGAAACCATTCCTGCAAGCCAGTTTTGGCTCGCTCTTAGTTTTTCCTTAGGGCCCCATTCTCATTCACACTGGCAGCAGTGCAAAGTCGCCTTGATGTAAATGAGAATCAGGCCCTTTATATCAGCATTAGAGTTAAATCTAGGCCAGCGTGAGAGTCATCTCCCATTAGCAGAGGCTAAATACCTGCTAGAAATTGGAATTCAAAGGGTGAAGCGTTGTACTGCATCACTGTGTTGTGTAATGTAACTGAGATCAGTCCTGTGCAAATGAAGCAATGGTGAAAACCAAGACAGATTAAGTTCAGTCATTTTTGAAGGGTGTAAATGGATACAGGAATTAATTTCAAGCTTTTTCTTCTCAATACCTAACCAGAGAAGGGTCTGTCTGGGCTGAAACAGTGAATCAGTTTCATTAGCTGAAACAGTCATGTGAAAACCTGAGATTAATGTTTAATACCTACATCCCTGTGTCTCTCGTCTTGACGCCTTCTTCAACAGAGTCCATAACCTATGAGGTCTGGGATTAGAGTTGTGGCAGCATTTGTCAGGTGCTGCATCACAAACTAGAGCAGCACCCTAACTCAAACGTGCAGGTTATTCTATGGAGGAGTTTCAAAGCACATCACATGGGGAGTATACAGTTAACTTGAGAAAGACGTGGTGAAGCCTTCGTGATAAAAAGACAGAACCAAGTCTGTGTAGTTTTGTGGTTGTTTTTTTGTTTTTAAGAGGGCAGCCAACTGAACACACATAAAAACAGCAGATAAAGCAAATCTGTATTCTAACAGCAGGGTGCGTTTTCTCTTTTTTCCCCTCTGAGGTAATTCACTGGAACTCACCAAAGAAGCTGCGAGTGAAAAACAAGCACGTGGAGTTTTTCCGCAACCTCTACCTGACATTCCTGGAATATGATGGGAATTTGCTGAGACGGGAACTCTTTGGCTGCCCCAGTGAGGCAGACGTTAACAGTGAAAATGTAAGTGGGATATATAGGTCTCGAAGTTTTAAAGTGTGTTTCATACAAGGCATGGGCTACGTGAAGACTTGGAGAGTTGGTGATGCAGGTAGTGTGGTGTGGAGTGACTGAGGAAGATTGAGATCAGGGCTAGGATTCCAGGAGTGACCCTGTGCCTCAGTTCCTTGTCTGTAAAGCTCTCATATTAATTCTGCCTTTCCCCTGCTTTTTGTTTCTTTTTTTTTTTTTTTTTTTTTTTGGCTGCCTTGCCTTTTAAAAATTCCCAACAGAGGTAAGGTCACAAACCGAAAATGACTATTTAGGCTCTTCATTCCATTAGGCAATTTTGCAAATCTCAGACCTAAAACTTTCTAGGGGAAGGGCTTGTTTCTTGCTGTGTGTTTTTTCACCATACAATGATATCAGTTTTGGCTAGTAGATACTAATGTACAAATAATGAACAAGAAATAAAAGTATCAAGACTGTTGTATTTAGGTCTATGAGGTTTTGCCATGCTGCAAACCACAGAATGAGTTAATACTTGAAGGTACTCACAGGCTGTGAGACTGTGCAGTTTTTTCTACACTGCCCCTAACCAAACACAGCGGCATTTATGTGTATCTGCATAAAATTTGCAATCAGAACCTTTCAGACTAAGCAAATCCTTTGAAAATGGTTGAAATCAAGGATGTTTACATACAGATGTTCTTATGTGTGTGTGCCTTAGTACATATCGTTCCAATGTAAAAAAACTGTTAACTGAAACATTTATACACAACTGTGTAAGAACTCTTTATGTGTAATGTAGTCTCTGGAGATTTCTAGGCTAAGTCGCAATTTTGGCTACGTAGTCTGAAAGGAAATGAAAAGGAATCTGTAACATTTTATGTTATCTTTCAGAAAAAAAATATTTCTAAAATATACAACATTGTCTATATAAAAATCAATAAAGCAAAACCAGTGTCATGTACACATTAGCAGTTAAGAGGTAATTGGCAATCAATAGCATTGTTGAGGCTTGTAGTGTTTCCTTTTAGTCTGCGGAAAAAACTGACCACAGGAGATGCCATTCTCAATTTTTAATTATAGCAATCAGAGATTGTTCTGATATATTTTAGCCTAAGGCATGGCTCCCCAGATACTTATTTGACCATCCCACTGTCTTCTGAAAGGAGTGGGAAATGATGAGAAACTGGAGATAAACATTAACTAGGAGAGACTGAAGCAGGGGTGAGAGAGAGAGAGAAAAAGCAAATGCACAGTGAGAGCAAAAGCACATGAAGAAAGAAAATCCTCTGCAGGAGTGAGAGGCTTTTAGACAGTCAGGTGGACTGAATGTGATAAAAGACCACTACTAAGAGTCTGATGGTCAGAGACATCAAAATACAAGAGACACAGTAGAGGGTAAGATAGGAGGAGAAAGGGGCAGTGAGGCATTAAAAAAAAGACAACAGAACAAAACACACCTTCATCACACTTTAAGAATGCAGGTTAAAATTATCCTGAATTGACAATGTGTTGTGTGGGTTCGAAGGGCACTAAAGCAGCCACAGACTTGTTGCTATATTTTCCAGAGCTCTGTAAATCCTTAATAAACAGATTTATTCCAGTCAACGAATCGTTGGGGAGCAGTGCACAGTGAGTGCAAGTCCTTGCTGCTGAAAATGGCAGTCCTGAATGTTTAAAATGGCTCATTTTACTGAATTTGTATCTAGTTGACAGACACTGGAAATGACTAACTGTTCAAGCCTGTTTCTTATTCAAGACGAGTAGAACACAATATGCTATATGGTATGGCTTATGTCTGAAAAAGAAATGTAACTCATTCTTCCATTTATAAATAAAAAAAAAAAGACATACTGGAAAGGAATGAGCTAGACATACAAAAATACATGAGTCCTAACTTGCCAAGAGACACCAAAAAGTTAACAGCCTTCTATCAAAACAATCAGATACAGAAAAATATCTAACTTCGAATAGCTTAAGACTAGTCACTTGGGAGAAAGTACTGTTTTTATTAGTTACCCTTGATGTAAGCTCCTCTCTAAACTTGACTATGTCCTTTTTATTGTAGAATACAAAAAGCATGTTTCAGCTTTGAACTGATGAGACCCTAAGAATAGGATTATCATGAAAAACACTCTCTCACTCTGTCTGCGGTAGCACATACAGTGTCACAGGTGTCCTATTAAAATACAGTACATTGCTATGATATATTGCAGGATAATCTTCAGAAGCAGAGCATTTTGTAAGGTGAGCAGGGAACCACTGTTTGTCATTCCTCCCAGTTCAAGAACTAGGGAACATGAAGTGGAAATAGCAAGTAGCAGGTTCAAAACAAAGATAGACTTTTCACCCACGACATAATGAGCAGGAAGTATTGTTGCTAAAAATATATATATGCTCAAAAAGTGACTCTTTACAGAAAGGAAATCAATCAGGAGCTGTTAAGCTCTGATGCAGAAAGTCCTTAAAGGACAAGTTCAGGACTAGAGGAGCATTCTGAGAAAGCATCACCACATACTCGCCCTGCTTTCACACTCCGCTCTAGGCAGCCAGCTCACAGCTGGAGACAGGATGTGGGGCTAGATGGACCCTTAGTCTGACAAGATGCAGCCATACATTTCCGTTAGATTCCTAACCATCTATGTTACTTAAAAGACTATAATTTCTACAAAGTCAAGTTTGTATAAATTAGGAATTGCTATTGGATATCTCTTATTACCTATTATTTTTTCCTTTCTTCTCTAAATTGAGAGCAGCCCCAAACCGCAATTAGGCTTTATTATGCTAGGCATCGTACATGGGTAAAAGGTGCTCCTTCAGCTGCCTGTGCTTCTCTGCACTGTGGACAAAATGTTAGAATAGCTCTGCTGGTTTTATAATCAGAGAGAATTACTTAAGCACTAAATGAAGTGAGCCCTGTTGTGGAAGAAGCAGGGGCTTACTGTGAGTCTGTCACTCACAGTCTGGCTGTGTCAAAATCTACCCTTTAGGTGTTGTTCCAGTATGCCAGTCAATGCTTCTCTACAGTTTGATATTTGTAATGATGCTTTATTTAGAATGCAGCCTGTAATTAAGGAATCTCATCTGTAATGCAAATACCTGTAAAACGTGAAAAGGAGGCGTGGCAGTGGGTACCATTGGGCTGGTTCTGTTACTCTAAGGCCTCTTTACACTTCTCATCAGTACTGAGATGGCCTTAAAATGAATGTAAATTATGTATCTTCCCTTTTTAAGGATTCTTTACAGTGCCAGAGAGATGTACAAGGGCATTAGTTTAAAAGGACTTCTCTCACTCTTCTTCTGTGTATGTGTGCGCATGGATGTATGCTTAAATATCTATGTCTATATACTTGTGGAAAGATTAGTACTTTTCTTCTTTTAATGTAAAACCACAGACTACATTTTAAGAGCTCTAAAGTCAGTCGTTGGATCTTATACTCCATATTATGGAGTATCTAGTCAGTTGTTGATCTTAAGCTGCACCAAACAGCACTGTTATTAGGTTCCAAAAATGTTACAAATGGGAATGAAGAGAACAAATAGGGATCCGAAACGGAAATATTAGAGTCAAAGAAATAAGAACTTAACTAATTTTTCTTTTTATGTAAAAATGCGTATACATATGTCTGTGTGTCCATACGTGTTTCATCCTTTCCTTGAAATGCTCAAGCTGAAAGACCCTGTGTGTTGCAGGGATCGGCCATGGATGGGGGCCTGCCACAAGCTCCTTGCCATAGAGCAGTACTGTAAGTGCCCTTTATTCAATACATAATAAAATGAGATTACACAGAGCAGGCTCTTCTTTGCAAATTGATAATACAATCACCCCTTTGCATTCTGTGCAGATTCTGTATGAGAAATTCAGAATATGAACCAAATCCTCCTGTAAACACTGCCATTGACTCAAGTGGCCTTTGGAGCATGTCCTTAGTCAATCCATCCTACTTATTCCATGCTGTTTCCTCCTTCTCACCCGTTCTTTCTTATTTGATGCAAGGAAGAAGATTTGCGGGAACCCACAGAGGTGAAGCTCACCATAATCTCAAATTTGAACGTTTCTTATTGGCTTTTAATGCTTATGTCCAGCATTTCATTTTAAAAGACCTACTGTAAAGCCTAAAATATTTCAACAGGATCTTCTGTGTACCAGTTTATCTCTATAGTTACGCTGTGAGACAGATTTTGTAAGCCTGGTTTTAGCACACAGGCACACACTCAACCTTTTAGCATTCTCATAAAACTTTTTTCCTGCAGCCAGCTTCTCACCAGGTATTTCTGCCAAAGCATTAAATCTGAAGGTTGAATGGGATGTCCCCTATTAGTGAAGCCTGATGCAAAGACCAGAACAAGATCAATGGGAAGTTTATCACTGATTTCATTCAGTTTTGGGAAAGGACAGTAGATTCCCATTAGAGAAGACTTTCAGAAAACACAGGAAAAAATTCTCTACAGAGTTTAATTTTCAGATTTTCTTATCAACAGTAAAAAGAAACAGTGTAAAAAATCTAATTCTCTGTGAAAACACTTGCTTAGGAGTATACTTACTTACTAAGTGTCTTTTTTCTTACTTAGTTTTTTGTGCAAAACCAGAGTCTTAGTATTATATCAACTCTGCTAACTAATTCTGCAATTTTTGAGTGTCTAAAAATAGCATGCAAAGGGAGCTTCCAAGTCAGCATCGGGGCAATGAACTTGCAATCAGACTGATGCTTCGAGTACCCTTTGCTCCTGCAGAATTTCAAAATACTGCATCATTTGTAGGATTGGGATTTAAACTTACTATTTTGTCTGACATAGTCTTTCTCTAGTAATAACAGATGGTATATGGCAGTTTTGAGGTGAGATCCTGGCTTCCCCAGCTGTGGTGTTTCTATTATTATAACTGTTATTGTTATTAAATGCTGAGCTAGTAGCCCATCCTGTTAGTTGGCTGAAAGTCGCCATTATACTGCTCTCAGCTGCTTATAGTATTGCTAGATAGGGGATCATATGGACTCTGATTTATTTTTTTTTAT